TTTAGTGTAATACTCGGAGGGTGCCTCCGGGGAGTGGACGTAGGTCATGGTTTGACCGAACCAACCACTATAAATTGGTGTGTTCTTTCCTTTATTTTTTCTGCACTTTATTTTCGCATTTATTTTTATTGTGGTCGATTGCGTGAATGAATTTGATTATCTATCTTTTTATTGTGAATGAAATTAGCTTCCGCATAAAGTCATAAAAAGAGATTTCTTTTCATTAAAGAAGTTTTTAATCATCCAGTTCATCCCCCACTTTGCGCATCTAGTAATTTCAATTTTGACAATTTATTCAAAGTATTTTCTAATTTTCATTTCACTTCCATTAATGAGGTTCTTACTGAATGGTTTATTAAGCTCAAAAGTCATATTCGCAATATTATATCTGTTTTGATTTGTTGGTATATTTGGGAGAGTAGGAATGCCTCTAAACATGAGAATGAAAAAATGGATGTGAATACTATCATTTCTAAAATTAAGCATAAAACTTATCAATTGTTTATGGCTAAGCTTCTTAAGAATGACTCTTTCAAAGGTTACCATCACTTGCTTAATGAATTTGGGTTGAATTTCAATTCTCCTGTTGCTGTTTCTAAAAATAGAATCATTTATTGGACTAAACCTATGGCGGGGTGTTTTAAACTCAATATGGATGGTGCTTATAATACTATTGGTGCTGGGTGTGGTGGCATTATTATAGATACTAAAGGCTTTGTCATTAAGGCTTATGCGGGTCCTTCCAATGCTATTAATTCCATTCAGGCTGAATTGGAGAGTCTTTTGTATGGGATTAAGCTCTGTAAGTCTATTGGGATTGATAATCTTTGGGTTGAAGTGGATGTTATGCTTATTATTCATTACATTAAAGGCCACTCTTCTGCCAATTCTGACAACTTTTATAAAATTAGAGATATTAAACATTGCATGTCTCTTACCTCTTTTAAAATTTCTCATATCTTACGAGAAGGGAATGAGGTGGCCGATTTTCTTGCCAAAAAGGGGTGTACTCTTGTTAATTTTGAGGAGTATGATGATCACAATCTTCCTACTGAAGCTCAAGATCTTGCTAGATTAGATCGTTTGAATTATCCTTATATTCGTGTGCATTAGGCTGCTTTTACTTTTCTGCTGTTCTTCTTTCATGTTTTGCCTTTATTCTGTTACTTGCGCCTCTTGTCCTGTTTTCTGTGGTGGGGTTTTTTCTAAGATTTTACTCTATGCCTTTTCTGTTGGTTTGCACTGCTGGGGGATTCTTATGCCTTGGGATCTCTACGTGTTTTATTTTCTCAATGTTTCTTTTGGGAGCTGTTTCGATTATGGGATCCTGGGCTCTCTGGATCCTAATCAGGATGATGCGGATTGGATTTTTTCGCCTGTGTATCTCTGTTATCTTGGTATTAAATGTTTCTGGGTTAATTCTAAGATTTGCTGTTTTGAGGTGTTTTGGATTTATCTAAACTGGAAACTCTTGGCTCTGTTTTGCTATTTTTTCACTAGGTTTTCATGTTATATTATCTTTAAGTCTGGTAACTGTATTCTCTTTGGGCGTCGTAGTATGAAGTTTTTGGGTGAGCTGTTCCTCTGTCCTATCCTTCATTGGTTTTGTATTTGTTGGGTGAGCTGCTCCTTTGGCCTTTCCCCTTTAATTTTAATGAATTTGGATTCTGGGATTGATCCGTTTAAATTTTCTGTGCGTCTTTTCCTGGTTTCACCCTATTCGCAGAATGGAAAGTGCTTTTTACTGGGATCTTATTTCTGCATCATGGGGGATACTAAGAACTGGGCTTGGAATGCCTTTAATGTTAATCACCCTATTATGTTACTTGTTTTGAATCTTGTGTTACAGGATCTGCTTCATTTGAACCTTTTTTGGACTCTTTCTTTAAACTTAGCCGTGGGTAATTCTCGATTGATGACTTTGTGCTCGTGCTATGATTTCTTATCTAAGCTCACTGAGGCTTCTGCCTTTGGCATCAAGGAAGTTTTTCTGCCTTTTTATCTCTTATCTTACGTTACCTGTAAGTCATTCTATCAATTATCCAAGTATACTTGTCATAAAATAATTTTTCTTTGGAGGTTTGTTTTTGTGCAGAGCTTTCGTCTTCGTATGTGCTGCTACAATGATTGCAGAGGGATCACTTCTTTTTGGAGCTTTGGGAAGGTGAATTACAATTTTTGCATGAAAACCGGTCTAATCATTGATATCTTCTTATTTCTTTTTTGAGTTCTGTTCTATTTTAGACCTAGAATGTTCTTAGGTTTTTTTGTAACTACTAGCATAAGGAACCAACGGCTTGCAGGTTTTATTTTATTTTTTGATGTAGCTCTTCTGAGCATTAGAGAGCTGGAGGTTCTTTTAAGGACCTTGTAACCGATTTTTGGATATTAACACGTAGGCTTTTTCGTGAGTTTTAATTAAAAAAAATGAAATATATAACGAAATATTAAAAAAATGAATAAATTTATATATAAAGGAACCATCAAGTGATGAATAAATAAAATTGAGTACATGGATCAAGTGATACAAACTGATGGTTCAAGCTGAAATATTATGCATTCTTCACATTTCATACATAACAAAGAAATAAGATGAGAAGAAACAAGTTTGCTTATGTATCCATAAGGATAAAAGGAATGTGAGCAATCTTGTGCCGATCGAAGCCTCCATTCTCTCGATAGCGCTCCTTTAACTCTGGATGACATCTCCCCCAAATTTCTAGACTTTCCAAAGAGGGAGGAATGTTCGGTAATTCCCGAAGCATAGGAACGCCCCCCGAAATTGTTAGACGTTCCAAAGAGGGAGGAAGGTTCGGTAATTCCCGAAGCATAGGAATGCCCCCCGAAATTGATAGACGTTTCAAAGAGGGAGGAAGGTTCGGTAATTCCCGAAGTATAGGAACATCATAAATAGATAGAATCTGAAGTGAAGATAAGCTTTCCAAGAAGGAAGGGAGAGACTGTAAGGATTTCAGCTTTTTAAATTCCAGCTCACAAAGAGATGAACTAACTCTCAGAAACCACTGCTCCGCCTCATTTGGAAATGAAACCACCTCATCATTATACTCAATACTCAGCTCTTTTAAGGAGGCGGTACTTCTCAATGGCTCCATTAGCAACACTGATGGATCACTTATACTGAGATTACTGAGCATGATATGGCAATTATTAGTGGTTTGCATTTCTCCGAGAGAGATCAGATTGGGGCACTTTCTAATTACCAAGTCTCTTAGTGCTGCAAGTCTTGATATTTCATCAGCCAGAGGAAGAGATGTAATGTTTGGACAGTCAGAGACCTTTAATGATTCAAGGGGAATAGGATTTGAATTGCTACAAAAATTCAAAGTCGTCCACCCAATTTTATATATCCCCAACCTCTTGAGCTTAGAAGGCAAAGAGGGCGACTCTTTCAACTTCGGGCAGTCATATAGATATAGTTCAGTTAAGCTAGGAAACAAACATCCATCTTCAGCAGCTACTCCTGCCTCAAACCAATCCTCTAATGCTTCTAATCTGTCAATATGTAACACCTCTAGCAATGGAAAGGCACGGTATTTATCATTCCCATTAAATTTACTTTCGAGCCATTTTACTTTCGGCATGTTATCAAGTATCAGTGACTTGAGGAAGGGAAGTTGCCCAAAAGGTGGAAGAGTTTCACACTCCAAGCATTCTGTCAATTTGATTATCTCTAGATTGAAGATCAGATTGATATTGTTCATCCATATTGCAGACCTTGCACCCATGTATCTCTGTATCCTCAGATTCCTTAGACATTTTGGTGGCTGAAGGTTGTTGAGCACGTTCTCATCTAAATTGATGGTCCTCGAATAATAAGTGTTACTCCAACGTAAGTTTAAATTTGTGAGCCTCCTTTTGGCACATAATTTGGCACTACAAGCCTCCTCAACATCCTTAACATTTTCAAGGCAGTTGATTCCTAATTTGCAAAGATCATTCATATTCTCCAGCTCCCCAATTCTATAACCACTCACATCTCTAAGATCAAACATTTTCAATTCTTGAAGAGACATTAGCTTCCCAATCCCACATATATCGATGAAATATAATTCTCAAACAATATCACATAACGTAAGTTTGAAAGGTTATTAATGTCACTGGGCAAAAAATTATCACCTTTTGTTTCGCTTGTGTTCTGTTGCCTATCATTGATAATGTATTGCAACTGATAGAGATTACTTAGAGATCTTGGCAGCATAATCAAACCATAACTATCAATCTTTAAGTATCGAAGATGTATCAAATTTTCAATCTCCTCAGGTATCATTTTCAAGGTTGGGGCACATACGTCTAATAAGCGTAGACTTCTCGATGCTTTAAATATTTCTATAAGTGCACTGATATCCTGATTAGAAGGTAGATAGGACAAGAAAAGAGCATGCAAATATTTAAACTGCCCAATATTTTTTATGATGTCAGGATTTGTAGTGTTAACAGACAAGTATCGAAGAGTTTTAGGAATTGTAGAAGGCAACTTTGCACCATCCTCAACTCTTAAACATTCATATATGGAAAGAGATTGTGCTAATTCACGTATTAAATCATGCATCTTGTAACACTTCTTGTGGTATTGTTCAAACTCGTCAAAGATATTTTTTTTAACCAAAACATCAAAATACCTTCCTCCGATATCCTCCATAGTCTCTCCTTGAAAATGAGACGGTTGAATGAAACCCAATGCAATCCACTGTCGGACTAAAGCATCTCTATCAAATAGACAATCTTGTGGGAATATGGAGCAAAATGTGGAGCAACTTTTTAGAGGTTGCGGGAGGTGTACATAGCTCAATCTTAAAACGGACATGATATCATTTTGACCCAATTTTATAATTTCCAGAACATAATCTAAAACTCTTCTCCAGTGCCCTTCATCCAAATTAGAATTCAGAATACCACCTATGACCTTTGCTGCTAAAGGAGACCCTGAAAGCTTTTTAACTATCTCAGCAGTAATTAATTTTAATTTTAATTTTCTCTGATCATCAAGATTGTCTACAGCAAATGCATGGGTGTTGAGGAGCTCCAAACATTCTTCGTGCTCTAAGCCTTCTAATCTCAATGGTTGTGTCTTTTCGAGAATTACTTCTTCAAACATCAGTGCAACTGCCATATCCATTTGTTGAGAGCTGGATCGCTGATTTGTGCTTGGTTAGCAGCAAAGACGACAGCTTGAATCTTGGGGTGGTTCTCTCGCAGCCTTTCAAGCTCCTCCTTCATGCCTGTCTGCCATCTGAATTGATCTTTAAGGTAATCTAAAAAGTAATCTTTACTGTAATCTTCAAGGTAATCAGAGCAAGTGTTGATGATCTTTTCCATGATTGGTCCAACAAAAAATCCCTCCATCGCAGCGACGATTTAGGTAGGAGAGCAGAACAACTGAACAGTAGCAGAAACAGAGATCGGAAGAGAGAAAGAATTTAAGCAGCAAATGGCCACGTCCAGCCGAAGTCAAGTTAAACGGAGAATAAGTGAGAGAGAAGACGAAGCTGCGGCGTAGTCGTACTAACTGAAAAAGTAAGCTGCAGCGTAGTGGAAGTCAAGTAAAACAGAGATTGGAAGAGATAATTAGATAGTCTCTGATAGCTCATAAAATAAGACAAATGAATGTATTTTAAAATAAATAAGAAGTTTGATTTTTTATGAGAATATCATTTATTCATTTTAAATGAATGTTTTTAATATAGTATAATTGAATTAATTTGTAAATTTTTTAAAAAAATCATCATATAATAAATGTGTGTTTCACAAATTATTGATTTGGATATTTATGGGAGTGTTAAAATTGGGACCAAATTGACTTGACTAATTTGAGATAAATTTGTATTAGTCGAAATCAAATTGTTTTAAATTAGTCTTATGTGATTGAACTAGATCAACTGAATACTTTTTAATAACATTCAATTTAATTAGATCTGAGCTAATTCAATTAGAGTTGAATGAGTTTAATTTAAATTAATTTAATACAAATGAAATCTTATGCATCCTCAATTTGAGTACACTTGGCTTGATTTTATTAGCTCTGTCTCAACTCCAAAAATAAGAGAATGACGATTATGAATTTCATCTCTAAAAAAGAGGACAACAGAGCAAATAATTGACTATTGCCAAGAATATCATGGTTCTTGATAAGGAGTTCTTCTGCTTCCATAGTAATTTTATTCATAACATATTCAAATACAACAAGGAGAATTATATAGAAATGGCTTTTACATAATATGAAGAAAATCCTCTTTAAGATGAGTTTGATTCCACTGAGTTTAAAATTTCTTCACAATAAGTTGTTTTTTATAAATCAAAATAATAATAATAAAAAGATTTATTGAATATTTATCTGCTTTTGCTGTCAAGCTTCCCCGTCTTCCACGATCATGATAATTAGAGAACTCTATTTACATCTCTATTAATTAATATTTATCAATTTTATGCGGGTCTTCGTATCATTTGTTTTTTGTTTTTAATTTCTGTTGCGATATCAAGTTTAGGTTACAAAATATTTTCCTAATCAGCAATCTTAGCATTCCAAAGTAAGGTAGGTAAAAGTTCGCTCGTATGGCATTCATTTTGCATTAAATCAATCTTATAGGTTATAGGTCTAAATCCATTTTTACGACATCATATAGGCTTCAGATATAAGTATGCTCTTACAATATTAATTTTGTATTAAATCGATATCTTTGATTAATTGTTAGAATTTTTATACTAAAAAGTTGTTTTATAAAATAGTATGAAAATAATATGAAAACTATCACAAACAAAGACTTGTTAGGCTTTGTTTGGAACGGATTTCTTAATTCTTTCAAAAACAACTTTTTAGTGTGAGAATTCTTTTCGCTGAAAAGATTTCTTTTAAAAATATTAAAAAAAACTCAAATCTTTTCATTTTAATCTACTAAATTTTCCACAACTCTTCAAAAGCAACAATGCGAAGAGTAGTAATGCATGATAGAAACTGTTGTGCATTAAGAATAGTTTTCCTTTTTTATGTCATCAAATTAATGAGTTCAAATTGTAGCTATTGGTGCAATGACAATAAAATTTTTAAATGAGAGCCATTGCTTCAGCTTCCACTTCTACTATTACTTCTTTCAGATAAGAAGTTAACATGTGTCTAAGAAAATAAATAAATCAATAAATAAAATTAATATGAAAGTTGATGAAAGTGAAAAAAAAAAATCATAAATCAAAGCTGATTGATCATTAAATTTTTATTTTTGTAAATGATTTTTTGTAAATGAATATTTGATAATACAATCCCTTGCATTGCCAACTGAAAATATTCAATTCCATACATATATCATTTTGTTTAGGGTGATTTGTTACCTACTCAAGTGATAATGTTTGTACTCTCTCTCTCTCTCTCTCTCTCTCTCTCTCTCTCTCTCTCGTGTTTGTATTGTAGCAGCTTCCCAATAGAAATTGGAAAGCTGAGGTTGCGGATCTTCAATGTTGATCTGAGGTCTGACTTCATTATGATCAGATTTGAGATTGTTCTTTCTTTTGATTCTGTCTAGCATTAATGGTATCAAAGAGGGCTTTGGAGGAGTCGATCATCTTCTATTAGCAACTTGAAAGTTGGCAACCTTGAGAAATATGCATTCAATCAAGCTTTAGCTTGAAAGTGGTGACAAACCAGGTATGTTAAACTTGTGATGATTCCTTTTAGCAAGAAAAATATAAATTTGTTATTTTTATGCTCAACTTTCTTTTTTTATAATAAATTTGTATTTTCAAATAATGTCAAC